TACCAGTACTACCTGAAGGTGGTGCGCACTGAGGTGCACACCGCCGCCCACCACCCTCCCGGCGCCCGCCTCTACCAGTACTCGGTGACGGAGCGGACGCTGGTGGTGGACCACGATGCGGGCGCCCACGGCGTGCCCGGCATCTACCTCAAGTACGAAATTGACGGCCTCAAGGTGGAGGTGAGGGAGGAAGGCGGTGAGGCGGCCACCTTCTGGCAGTTCGCCGTCCGCCTGTGCGCCATCCTCGGCGGCGTGCTCGCCATCAGCGGCCTGCTCAATCAGATTGCCACCGCCGTGGGAGATGTTGTCACCGGGCGGTACATTGGCCAGATTAACTTTGTCGACTGAGGTGACTGACGGTGGTGGAAAGAAAGCAATAAAGAGATCAGAGTGCTTCTCGTCATTCTTTGAGAGAGCTGGTTTAATTTGGTGTGTGTGTGTGCCTGTGCGAGGTCAGCTGCTTGCATTGCTTGCATTCACGTGTTCATTCATTCCTCTTCATCTTCTACTTGAGAAGCATCGGCGCGGCCACTGCGGCCGCCTTCTCCTCGCCGACCAGGTTCTTGACGATGGCCAGGCTGAACTCCAGAGCCGTTCCCGGAGCACGGCTGGTGATCAGCTGACGGTCGACGACGACTCGCTCCTCCGAGTAATTGTACTTGCCACCCTCTTTCAGCTTATCAGCAACTGAAGGATGAGAGGTGACAGTCTTGCCGAGACCGACGCCGTGAGCAGGAAGAGCGCTAGGCGAGGCGCAGATAATGGCGATCAGCTTGCCGGCCGCCTCAAAGCGCTTGAGCAGGCTGCCGACTTCGGCGCTCTAGAAGAGGGAAGGTTAAAGATAAAGTATTAGTAAAAGAAAGTAAGAATGAAGACAGGTTACCTCAGAGAAGGCCTTCGCCGCGCCGAGGCCGCCAGGCAATACGACCGCATCAAAAGCGTCGGTAGTGGACTTGAGATCGGCAAGGCTACGCTCCGGAGTGATGACAACCGATCGGCTGCTTTTAACAGGCGAGGCGGAGGCCACTCCAGCGATTGTCACATCGATCTAAAGATGAAAAAGTGTGTTTTAATGATTAACATTGAAAATTGTATCGCAAACAGCAACATCAACTTACCTCGGCTCGACGAAGGACACTCACTGCGCTGCAGAACTCTATCTCTTCCATGCCATCAACGGCGAGAATGAGAGCCTTCTTTTGAGGTGTCTGCGAGGCCATGTTCTTCGCGAATCTGGTGTGGGTAGTAGTGAAGGTAAACTCGGGGCAAAGAAGCTGCTTGGAGGTGGATTGCAGAAGAAGCCGACAAAGTCTCTTCACCATAGTGACCTTTTTTCACTGCACCGAAAGTCGCGTCGTGTTGTGATTGGCAGTGCGCCGAGTGGACGCCGGGCGGCACTGCAATCGCCAACAAAAAAAATCAGTTCTTATCAGCAGATCTTTTGTTTAGGCCTAGTAAAGAATTGGACATCGAAAAAATCGGCTGGCTTTATTAGCAGAAGAGCGGAAAGAATCCGGTGGAGGAGGTAAGAGACGAAGCGGTACAGAATGAGTGTACAATTTGTTATAACATTGATATGGTTCTAAATTCTGCAGCTTCAAGTCTCATGACAGGACAATGGTGGAAGCTTCGGTGGTGGTGGCGGCCGTGGTTATCACCAACTTTCCACCTTCAACATTACCACCCACAAGAGATGCGTGCATCTCCACCACCTCCTCCCTATCCAGCCCATTGTTTTCCGGCGGGCCATGATCGAGAGAG